TGTTTGTTATACTTCTTAAAGGTTGATAGCTGTCATTGTGACTCACCAAATGGGTGAACTGCTATAAGAGTGGTTTACTTTTAAGTGGTTCTTCCTTTAATGTATCTCTCTCTCTCTCTCTCTCTCTCTCTCTCTCTCTCTCTCTCTCTCTCTCTCTCTCTCTCTCTCTCTCTCTCTCTCTCTCCCTCTCTCTCTCTCTCTCGTTCTCCCTATTTAAGCCAGTCCATTTGGCCCAGAGTTGTTTCCAGGTGGAAGCCTTTGGACACACCTTCACCCTGGACCTGGAGTTAAACCAGTGAGTAGATTTGATTTGTGCACAATCTTGATCGACGTATTCGCCACATCCATTTCCATCAGTCCGTATTTTCTTAATCGCCACAGTCATCAACATTGGCATTTCCTTAACTGCTACCATTAGCAAATACACTTTGCTCCTACCACTTATGACACATGATCAAGTGTGTAGTGGAGCATTAGGGACACAGAGACCCTGAGAGCTCCATCAGTACAGCAAACCACCCTAGAGAGACTAGAGAGAGAGACAGAAAGGGGGGGGGGGGGGGGGGGGGGGGGGGGGGGGGGGGGGGGACACGGACACGGACACAGAGAGAGAGTGGCCTGGATTATCATAACTTTATTATTCATGTGCTTAATGTACTGTAACTCCCGTACAGTGCAGTAAGGTAGTCAACACAACAGACCATTTTTACTCTATTTTGGCTACTGCCTAGCTACGATAATGTCATAAATCACATCCACATACTGTACTCTACAGCCATGCATTACACTACGCCCTCATGCATGCACACTGAAATGGAATTACATTAAGAACGGACCATATTCATACAGGCTGCATATCTATTCACAAAGAGAACAGACTACAGAGAAAGAGGATAAACCGTCAACCTAAAGGATATGCCTTGTTGACTTAGACATAGTGTGGAGCTTGGCTTGAGGTATAGTTTATGAGAGAGGTGTCTGTCATAATAACAGAGGTGTTTCTGTGTGTTTTCTCTCTACAGCCACCTCCTGTCCTCAGACTATGTGGAGCGCCACTTTCACCAAGACGGCAAACCCTCACAGTCTATGGTAGTGTGTGTGTGTGTGTGTGTGTGTGTGTGTGTGTGTGTGTTTGTGTGTTTGTATGTTATAATTAGGGCCCTGTATTTTGTACAATCATTTGATATGCCTGGATTTGAACTGTTATTTAAAGCTTTTTCAACAAACTGTCCCATTTTCTTTTTATGTCAGACCAGCACCATCCTCAGACAATTGCTTTCATTTTTGGTGTAATTCATTTTTGGCTTAAAATACAGGATAAAGTCTTGCTATGTCACATGATTGCGCAAAACACATGTCCCTAGTTATAATAGAAGTTCTAACCATGCCTCTGATAAAGCTACTGTGTTTTCTGCGTACTGTAGACATACTGTAGACATACTGTAGACATACTGTAGACATACTGTAGACATATTGTAGACATACTGTAGACATACTGTAGACATATTGTAGACATACTGTAGACATACTGTAGACATACTGTAGACATATTGTAGACATACTGTAGACATACTGTAGACATACTGTAGACATATTGTAGACATACTGTAGACATACTGTAGACATACTGTTGACATACTGTATACATACTGTAGACATACTGTAGACATACTGTTGACATACTGTATACATACTGTAGACATACTGTAGACATACTGTATACATACTGTAGACATACTGTAGACATACTGTAAACATACTGTTGACATACTGTATACATACTGTATACATACTGTAGACATACTGTAGACATTGTATGTTATTGTCCAGTAGGCTACAGAGATCTGTTTTGTGTCTTACTGAAATCAGATACGCCCATCCTTATCAGATGGAATGGCATTAGTGTTGACCACAATCTCATGAAAGATAAGTGAAAATGAAAGAGTGCTTCAGTATCAGGAATGCAAAATGTGATTGAGTGGCTAGTAGACTACTACAGGAATGTCAGTGCCTCCAGAAAACCAGTGGGGAAAAGTAGTGTTTTTTCTATTTGGTTCATTGTACTACACACGTTACTAACTGCCCCTCGCCCCCCAGCCTCAGCAATAGCCTCCCTTTCATCCACACCCACTCTCATTCCCAACTCTCCCTCTGCCCACACTAGCCAATCAGGAGCCTGTTCCCATGGCAACGAGTCAGCTCTGCAGTGTCATTAAGTTCTTGGCAGAGAGGAGAATGAAAGAAGACAGAGAGAGAGAGAGGGGAGGAGAAGGAAAAGGACAAATGAGAGTAAAAGGCCAGTGAATACAACGGCAGGATGGGTGATGGTATCAGAGAGAGTAATTCTGTGTTTGTGTTTGCAGACAGTTGGTTCCTTCAGAGAGCAGTGGTGTGGGTGGGAGGATGTACAGTACGCCTGCAGGGATGGAGCCACATACTCGCACTGCCAGACCAGCCAGACCAGGCCAAGCACTTTACTCTATGCCAACTGTGGTTGCTGTGTCTCTCTCTATCTCTGCTTTTATTAGAGTGGTATTGTATTCCTGCTATCCCAATTTCATACTCAGTAGTGGCTCAATGACCACTTTAGTTGAGTCATTACGGGAAAGTGTTTCTAATATTTTGAAGGAGACTAATTGTGAAGGAGAGGCCTTCACCTGGACTAGAGACTTATACTCAGACTTATACTTAGATACACCACCCCGTTCATGAAAATGGTTTGCTCCTACAGACAGTGAGTCGCGTGGCCGTGTTTGCTATATAAAGCAGGCAGACAGGCATCGAGGCATTCAGTTACTATTCAATTGATCGTTAGAATGGGCAAAACGAGTGACCTAAGCTACTTTGAGTGGTATCTCAGAAACGTCCGGCCTCCTGGGCTTTTAAGGCACGACAGTGTCTAGGGTTTACAGAGAATGGTGCGACAAACATCCAGTCAGCGGCAGTCCTGTGGGCGAAAACAGCTCGTTGATGAGAGGTCGAAGGAGAATGGCAAGAATCGTGCAAGCTAACGGACATGTCACGAACAGGCAAATAATGGCGCAGTACAACAGTGGTGTGCAGAATGGTATCTCGGAATGCACAACTCGTCACGAGGTCCTTGTCACGGATGGGCTATTGCAGCAGACGACCACACCGGGTTCCACAACTATCAGCTAAAAACAAGAAGAAGCGGCTCCAGTGGGCACGTGATCACAAACAATGGACAATTGAGGAGTGGAAAAACATAGCCTGATCCGACGAATCCCAGTTCCTGTTGCGTCATGCTGATGGCAGAGTCAGGATTTGGCGTAAGCAGCACGAGTCCATGGCCCCATCCTCCCTGGTGCCAACAGGCTGGTGCTGGTGGTGTAATGGTGTGGGGAATGTTTTCCTGGCACACGTTAGGTCCCTTGATACCAATTGAGCAACGTTTCCATGCCCCCAAAAAATCAGGCTGTTCTGGAGGGCAAAGGGGGCTCCGACCCAGTACTAGATGGGTGTACCTAATAAACAGGCCACTGAGTGTATAACTGTCAAAGCAAGTAGCCTAATATGCTTGTCTTTGTATTTCTGTTTATTTGCCATTCAATTCAAACATTCCAAAGCCTGTCCTGATTACCGGTTGCACACACCCCAACTGCTAATTGTCTTGTTAATTGTTACTATGTTCTCATTGTCTTTCTAACCATGTGTAAGAAGTGTTTGGGGAGTTCTCCAACCAAGGTGATGTTTTTACTGCCAATGGTTTTATTTGCTCTGCTGTTTTAAAAGTGATTGTTTTAAACATTTTAAGTGTTAGAGTAGGCCAGCTCTTTCACACCAATGAAGGATGGGGCTCAGCTGGTTGCAGGCAAGATTGTGAGATGGACAGATGTTTTATTCAGAATGAGCATTGTTGTAAATGGATGCCCTCTTCTTCCTCTGTGTTGAGGTCTCATGTGTGTGGTTCTCCTCTTCCACACTTTAGCATCCACTGCTCTAGGAACAGGTTTATTCTTAGCCAGCCCAATGCATTCTCACCCCGTGTTGTTCCTGCCACGCTGTTCCCACTGTGGAGCAACATAATGTTGGATTTATGTATAAGCTCCCTGCACAGAAGACCCCTGCTTTGTCAGAGCCGTAGCTAAAGTAGGAATAGAGTAGAGTGGAGGACAAGTAGGTCACATATAGTACATACTGCTGGCAGTATAATGGAGGGAGGGAGGGAGGGAGGGAGGGAGGGAGGGAGGGAGGGAGGGAGAGACAGAGAGACAGAGAGACAGAGACAGAGAGAGAATATAATTAGAAATTGTTTAAAGCACAACTCCTGGGGACTCCATATTATTTTTTTAGGGGACTGTGAAATGAGCATCACTGTCCTCCTCAGTCAGTGTGTGGAAACCTGCAAACCAATGTACCACTACACAGTCGACTTACTTGAGCATGTGACTGTATGTTAACAATAGTATGGTCTTTGTGTCCACAGGGAGGGGAGCACTGCTACTACCAAGGGAGGTTGAGGGGCTTACCAGAGTCCTGGGCAGCTCTCTCCACCTGTCTTGGCCTATGGTGAGCCTCTCCCCATAGTTATATACTGTCTGTCAATGGCCTTGCCTCACCACACTGACTTGGTACAATACTGGCACAATGGCTTTGATAAGTTAAATGGCATCTTTGATCTTCATAGACTAATATCACTGCTATATAATGGGAGTCTTACAGATATATAATGAACATGTTCCCTCTCTCTCTCTCTCTCTCTCTCTCTCGCTCTCGCTCGCTCTCTCTCTCTCTCTCTCCTCTCTCTCTCTCTCTCTCTCTCTCTCTCTCTCTCTCCTCTCTCTCTCTCTCTCTCTCTCTCTCAGTGGTATGTTTTCTGATGGGATGTTCTCTTATGGAATTGAGCCTCTTTTCGATGGGACCAATCAGGTGAGTGTGTGTGGTGGTTGGGAGATAACAGTATAGATAGCCCTGTGTAGTAGTGTTGATGTTATTGATTCATCCATTCATAGTAACATGGATGCAGATGATGAATATGGATGAACGTGGTAAAGATAGCATTGTTTTCTCCTGGTGTCTCATTGACTCCTCTCCAGACTGAGGGGGCCCACCTGGTGCGTAGGATGCCTGATGTCAGACTATCCCCAGACTGTCCAGGTACTGGCAACATCCTACATCCTCTCTCCTCTCTCCTCTCTACAATCATTCATGTTCATACCTACCAATGAGAAGACTCTTTGATATTGGTAGATCCATGCTCTTTGATGTCATTTCTCAATCCTCCGTGTTGTATTGTGTCCAGACTGCGCAGACAACAGTGAGGGCGTTAGAGTCAGAGGTAATGGTGATGAGCAGACGAAGGATCCCCGGGTCAGTGAGGTGCTGAGGCGCTCTAAGAGACAGCTGCCACGCAGGCCCACCGTGCAGTCAGAGACCAAATACATCGAGCTGATGGTGGTCAATGACTATGAAATGGTGAGTTAGCCTTTTCTGAAAAGAATTGATGTGTGTGTGTTCGTACGTTGCAGCCGTGCGTGTGTGTGACGCACACTGTACCTAACGTTTGCTGTCTGTCTGCAGTTTGTGCAGCTGCGACGCTCCACTACCCAGGCCAGGAACTTTGCCAAAGCAGTGGTGAATATGGCAGATGCAGTAAGAGCTCTGTTTGTCACTCCATACTTAACTTTTGTACCGATACCCATAGTCAATTATGATGATATTGTTATGTCAAAGTCATATCAATGATCATAGGCTAGGTTGTAGCCTATAAGAACAATCTATCATATCTTACTTATTATGTCCATGCTCCTAGATATGAATTTGTTTATACCTTTGAACTCAACGACCCTGCTCCTAACCATCAGTATATGTTTGGCCTGCAGATTTACAGGGAACAGCTGAACACACGCATCGTGCTGGTTGCCATGGAGACCTGGTCGTCGGCCAACATGGTTCCCGTGGTGACGGATCCGTTGACAGCTGCAGAACGTCATGAAGTAAAAAAAAAGGAGCAATGGAAAAAAAACGTGAGGCCCCTTGGCCCCCTGCTCTGTCCCCTGAATGGAAAGAGAGGGGTGTTTGATACTCCCCTGAAC